CAATTCTCCTGCCTCAGCCTCCTGAGTAGCTGGGATTACAGGCGCCCACCACCATGCCTGGCTAATTTTTGTATTTTTAGTAGAGACGGGGTTTTGCCACGTTGGCCAGGCTGGTCTTGAACTCCTAATCTTAGGTGATCCGCCCGCCTTGGCCTCCCAAAGTGCTGGGATTACGGGTAGGAGGCACCGTGCCTAGCCAGCATCATTAGTCTTCATGTAAAATTCTCTAGTCTCTGAATCTAACATGATTTTAGTATACAGTCAATATATTCTTGGTGCTTTACCATCAACGTGTTTCCACAGCTCTGATGGAACCTTAATGCAAAGTTCTCCATTTCCTGCATCAGGGTCCACCGCACTAACTGCAGCTGCATAAGCATTGGAAAAATAATTGAGGTTTCTCCTGGGGAAAAAAAAGAGCCAACTTTTAATAATAAGATAATAAGGCATATATCTTACCAAGCATTTTCTTTTTCCTTTTTTTTTTTTGAGATGAAGTCTCACTCTGTTACCCAGGCCAGAGTTCAGTGGCAGCATCTCAACTCACTGCAACCTCCACCTCCCAGGTTCAAGCATTCTCGTCCCTCAGCCTCCCGAGTAGCTGGGATTACAGGCACCCATCACCACAACCGGCTAATTTTTGTATTTTTAGTAGAGATGGTGTTTCACCATGTTGGTCAGGCTGGTCTCAAACTCTTAACCTCTAGTGACCCATTCTCCTTGGCCTCCCAAAGTGCCTCTGATTACAGGCATGAGCCACCACACCCGGCCTCTGAGCATTTTCTTAAATATCAGTTGATACCAATTGTTTGTAAGCATTTTATCTTCTTATATAATTCCTAAAAACACTCTTTAGCCAAGTAATGGTTTGTTCTACTCACCATGTTAAAAACTATTAAACTATGAAAACAACAGAATATATATTCTACTCACCAAGTTACATGACTATTACTATGACTATCACATTCTTTGTTAATTTTGGAATGCCAAAGCCACTATACTATTTTGATATAAATGTAAAGAATACGTGAAGAATTGAATAAATAATTATTCCCTATCAATCTGGCAAAAAATTGAATGGATTCAACAAGCTTTATAATTTGACAAAAATTAAGACGTCGAAAACAAATCAGGATGGGACTCAATTCCTCACAATGTAATAGCACCTACCTCCACCCATTAGTGCATCACAATGTAAGCTTAATGAAGCAGAGAATTTTCAGCAGACTCACTGTTATATTCACTATGTCAGGAGAGACTACTACAAAAATATTTGTTCCACAGTTATCTGACCTTATTTCCCATTTGATGAAAACAATATGATGAAGTCTTACGGAAATGTGAAAATGTTGTTCTCAACTGGTTTTTAAACTGTACCCCATAAAAGCAACTTATATGTGTATATATACACATATTACATTTCCTCGCTGAAATTAGTTAAAAAAAATACAAAAGAAATGAAAGACAGAAAAAAGATATGGAATGGGAAGGGCAAGAATACAAGATGAAATACACAAACACCATGAGCCACATCCTTATTGTACACCTTTGTGTCTGCCATCCTGTCATTAGGTGTAGCCACAAGGTGAAATTAGTGACATTCCCATAGCTTAATAATTTTTTCATCTAGTTAAAAGACAAGTTTGAGCTAGGCACGGTGGCTCACGCCTATAATCCCAGCACTTTGGGAGGCAGAGGTGGTGAGTCACCTGAGGCCAGGAGTTCGAGTCCAGCCCAGCCAATATGACAAAACCCTGTCTCTACTAAAAATACAAAAATTAGCCAGGCATGGTGGTGCATGCCTGTAATCCTAGTTACTCAGGAGGCTGAGGCACGAGAATCGCTGGAGCCCAGGAGGCAGAAGTTGCAGTGAGCTGAGACTGCACCACTCCACTCCAACCTGGGCAACAGAGTGAGACTCTGTCTCAAAAAAATTAAAAAAAAAAATAAAAAGACAAGTTCCAAATACTCTACGGAATAATCAAAGGAAAAATAAAATGGGAAAAGCCATTAAAGAAACATTAAGGCTATAGACTCTTAACTTGACAGAGGTCATTCCTTCTCCATCTTCATCCATCTCTCTACCAGTTACGAAGGATATAACATAACTATGGCTTTAACAACTATTCAAGGTAACAACTACAAAGCATAGAGTTCTGAAAGTGAAAAGACTTCTCAATATATTTTAATAATTTATTTCTGTTAAGTAAATATTGTTGACAATGAACACTGACATTCCAAAAATGTTCAGAGCATCTTCACCAGTAGATCCCATCTCAAGAAACCAGTTTCTTTGCTCATCCATAAGCAGCAACCCCTCCATTCATTAAAGTTGTATCATAAGATTGCAGCAATTCAGTCTTCCCTTCAGGCTCCACTTCTAATTCTAGTTTCATTGCTATTTCTACCACAACTGCAGTTACTTCCTTCTCTAAATCCCTCAAAGTCATCCATGAGGTTTGGAATCAACTTCTTCCAAACTCTTGTTCATGTTGATGTTTTGATCTCCTCCCTAAATCATCAATGTCCTTAATGGCATCCAGAATGGTGAATCCTTTTCAGGGTTTCAACTGACTTTGTCCAGATGCCTCAGAGGAATCACTACCTATGGCAGCTATAGCCTTATGAAATGCATTTCTTAAATAATAAGACTTGAAAGTAGAAATTACTCCTTAATCTACAGGCTGCAGAATAGATGTTATGTTAGCACACATAAAAACAGTATTAATCTCCTAGTACATCTCCATCAGAGCTCTTGGGTAACCAGGTGTCTTGTCAATAAGCAGTACCATATTAAAAGGACTCTTGTTCTGACCAGAAATCTCAACAGTGGGCTTAAAATATTCAATTCAGTAAGCCATACTGTGAACACCTGTTGTCATCCAGGCTTTGTTGCTTCATTTACAGAGAACAGGCAGAATAGATTTAGCATAATTGTTAAGGGCTGCAGGATTTTTTGGAATGGTAAATGAGCATTGGCTTTAACTTAAAAGTCCCCAGCTGCATTAGCCCCTAATAAAAGAGTCAGCCTGTCCTTTGAAGCCAGGCACTGACTTCTTTTTAGCTGGGAAAGTTCTAGATAGCATCTTCTTCTAGTAGAAGGTTGTTTCATCTACATTGAAAATCTGTTGCTTAGTGTAGCAACCTTTATCAAAAACCTTAGCTAAATCTTCTAGATAACTTGCTGTAGCTTCTATATCAGCACTTGTTGCTTCACCTTGCACTTTCATGTTATGGACAAAGTTTCTTTTCTTAAACCTCATGAACCAGCCTCTCCTAGCTTCAAAATGTTCTTCTGCAGCTTCCTTACTTCTCAGCATTCACAGAACTGAAGAGAGTTAGGGTCTTGCTCTGGATTAGGCTTGGTCTTAAGGGATGGTGTGGCTGTTTGATCTTCTATCCAGATCTTTAAAACCTTCTCCTCATCAGCAATAAGGCTGTTCCATTTTCTTATCATTTGTGTATTCATTGGAGCAGTACTTTTAATTTCCTTTAAGAACTTTTCCTTTGCAGTCACAACTTAGCTAACTGGCGCCAAGAGGCCCAGCTTTTGGCCTTCCTCCCTAAGCTTCACCATTTCTATAGCTTTTGGTTCAAGGTGAGAGATATGAGGCTCTTCCTTTCACTTGCATGTTCAGAGGCCATTGTAGGGTTATTAATTGACCTAATTTCAATATTGTGTGTCTCAGCAAATAGGGAGGCCCGAGGAGGGGGACAGAGACAGGGAACAGCTGGTCCACAGAGTAGTCAGAACACACACAATGTTTATCATTTAAGTTTGCCATCTGATATGGATGCCATCTGTGGCATCCCCAAAACAATTACAATTGTAATATCAAAGATCTCTGATCACAGATTACCTTAACAGATATAATAATGAAAAAGTTTGAAATATTGCAAGAATTACAAAAATGTGACATGGAGACATGAAATGAGCATGTGTTGTTGGAAAAACGGCACTGATAAACTTTCTTGATGCAAGGTTATCACAAACCTTCAATTTGTGAAAAAACGGTATCTGCGAGGCACAATAGAGCAAAGCACAATAAAAGGAGGTACACCTGTGGGTTTTTTTAAAATTATCATACAAAAAAAAAAAAACCTTTTCTGGGGGTCTACAGTTGTATAAAATTCAACATATGTACAGATTCAGTTAGCCACCAAAATCAGGATATAGAACAGCTCTGTCATCCCCAAAAAGTCCCTTATGCTATCCTTTTGTCAAATAAATGGAATCACATAGAATGCTACCTTTTGAGACTGGCTTGTGTCACTAGGTTTTTGAAATTCATCCAAGTTGTTACATATATTAATAATTTGATCCTTTTGCCATTGAGTGGTATTATATTGTAGAGACTGTAGCAGTTTGTTGATCCATTGACCAGCTGAAGGGAATTTAGGTTATTTTCCGCTTTGGAAGTATGAAATAAAACTGTTATGAACACTTGTGTACAGGTTTTTGTGTGAATATAAGCTTCATCTCTGTAGTACAAATACCTAACAGTGGGACTACTGAGTCATATGGTAAACACATTTAACTTTCTAAAAATCTACAAAACTCTCAGAAGAGTAGTACCATTCTGCATCGCTAGCAGCAAGATCTGAACGTGCCAGTTGCTCCAAATCCTTGTCAGCACTTAACGCACGCACCATCTAATTTTAACGACTGTTTTATCTACAGAGTATAATTTATTTTCAATAAAATTTCAAAAACATAAAATTTGATGATTGTAAAACCTGTATTCCCCCCCAAGTTATCAGGGAAATGCAAAAATAAAATAACTATTATATAAAAAGAAAGCCAGATTTAAACATTACATATTAGAGTTATTAGTTTTTTTATCGGAAATTATTTTCATTTAATCTCCTCATTTCCTGAGAAAAGGTGAAGTGATCCAAATAAAATGAGTTATTATAAATGGAATCAACTGGGAAGTCAGTCTCAAATAATCTGATGGTTTACATTTCAATATACAAATCAAATGTTTTCTTTCATAACTTCACAGAAGTCAAAAATTACAGTATAAAATTATAATGTGTTTTCAATCTTCAGAATAATAATGACTACAAAGTATTTAATATGTCCTTGCCCTATAACTCCTACCATCCCCATCTCTCAATCCTCCTTACAGGAATGCAACTTAAAGAGAAGAAACGCTATAGATATTGAAAAATTAGTAAATTAAGGGAATAGATATAATTTTCTCTAAGAATTTTAAATATCCATATTAAATTAATATAATCTGATAATCCTTTATCAAATAAAGAACATTTGCCTCTTAAAACTATAGGTGCAGATTTTATAAAACTTCAGTTTCATTTATTTGTAAACTTTCCCTCTATTTAAAAATTTTTTTATAGAAGTTAACTTTTATGGAAGTAAATCAGAAAGCTACATACACC